CCCCCCCCCGGAGGCACAAAACCACCAGAGACTCAAAAATCACCTTTATTATAAATAAATTAAACATTGCAGAGGGTTTGGAGTTTCAGCGCGGAGCCGGATCGGTCGTAGAGGGGGTGATGGGGGGTAAAGGGGGATACCGGGGGGGCACCCGGGGGTAACGGGGGGGGCACCGGGAGGTAACAAGGAGCACCGGGGGCCGCTCGTGTTCGTGGAATTCCAGGTTTATCCCGTCGTGGAGCTGCTCTGGAGGAGTTAAGGAGAAAGCGGAGGTGTCGATAGGTGGAGTTTTTTGGGGGGTGGTCGCCCCCGGACCCACCTTCGGGACCTCCCGGGACCCCCCGAGCCCCTCCCGACCTCATTCAGAGGCCTCCGGGCCCTCCTTGTGCCACCCCGCGGTACTTCCGGCGCGCAGGAAGTGACGTCACGCGGCGCGGTTGCTACGGAAGTGTTGCCTTGGCAACCGGGGTGGTTGTTGTTGTGATGGTGGTTGTTGTTGGCAACGGGCAAAATGGCGGCGGGACCCCCCCAGGGACCCCCTTTTACTGCCTGGGGTCCCTTCTCGTCCTCTTCCTCCTTCTCTTCCTCGTCTTTTTTTCCTCCTCTTCCTCCTCCTCCTGGGAAGGGGACAAATGGGACAAGGGGGATTTGGGGGGAATAAAAACAGTGGGAAAAGAGGGATTTGGGGGGATAAAAACGGTGGAAAAGAGGGATTTGGGAGGGATAAAAACAGTGGAAAAAGAGGGATTTGGGAGGGATAAAAATGGGGTCGCAGCAGGAAAAATTCAGGCCTCAAACGAGCTCTTTTTTGGGCCTTTTTCACCCCAAAAAACCCGCCCGCCCTGTGCCGCCTCCAGGCCGGAATTACAGCCAGGAATTGCAGCCAGGAATTGCAGCCAGGAATTGCAGCCGGGGCTGGATGTCCCTGACCCTTCCCGGGGTGACGAAACGCGGCTGCTCTGCCCCGGTCTCTGTGCCCTGGGAGGGGTTTTGGTCCCAAATTCCAACGTTTTCGGGGCAAACAAACAACCAAAAAGCACCAAGATCCTGCTGGTTCCTTCTGATTCCCAAATAATCCCTTTATTTGGATTTTATCCCTTGGAATTCCCAGATTTAGGGGGGTTTGTTCCCGTTTCTTCTCTCCCAACCTTTAAATCCAGTGGTTCCTCCCCCATCCCAAATCCAGGTGTCCCTGGAAATCCATTTATGGGGGGATCCAAATCCGCCTCGTTTCCTTGGAAAAACGCTGATTCCCAACCCAACCCTCCCATTGTTCCCAATTTTCCACTTTCCAGCCCCATTTTTCCCAATTTTCCACCTCCCACCCCCATTTCCCCCCCACATTTGGAGGCAAAACCTCCAGGATTTTGAGGATTCTCCCCTTTTTTAACCCAAAACGGATGAGGAAAAGCCACAAAAACCTTGGATAAAGGGAGAAAAAATCCTTCCAGACCCGGAATTCCCGGGACTGGCCCCGATCCCAACTTTTTTTGAGGCTTTTTTTTTGAGGACAAACCAACTGGACCTGACCTGAAACCCCCCCTTCCCCCCCGGGTTAAATTTTAACCCCGGGAATGAACATTCCCAGAGTTATCCCGAACCTTTTATCCCGGGGATCCCGCTCAGAAATCCCTTTTTCTCCCCCATTCCCGAGGTTTTTCCCTCCTCCCAGAGCTCTCCGGGATGGACGAGGAGCATCTTGACGACGACCTGCGAGTGTTCAAAGGTAAATCCCAGGAGGGTTTTTGTGGGTTTTTTTCCCGGGATTTTTAAGGTAAAATCCAGGATTTTTTGTGGTTTTTTTTCCCGGGATTTTAAAGTTAAATTCCAGGATTTTTTGTGGGTTTTTTCCCAGGATTTTAAAGGTAAATTCCAGGATTTTTTCCCCAGGATTTCCCAGAGGAAATCCCACGTTTTCCTCCTCCCTCAGCTCCGGGAATTCGGCTGCTCCATTCCCAGAGGGAATTTGGGATGGATGGGGATCATTCCCGTGGGATTGGACACCAGTTTCCCCAGTTTCCCACCAGTTTTCCCAGTTCCTCCCAGTCCCCTCCAGTCTCTCCCAGTCTCTCCCAGTCCCTCCCAGTCCCCCCATTCCCTGCTCACCATTTTAAACCCAAACCGGAGCAAATCTCACCCAATTCCCGGTTATTTATTAACCCTTCGGCCAACAGAGCCGGGAAAACAGGGAAAAATCCGGGAATTCCCCTTCCCTTCCCTTCCCTTCCCTTCCCTTCCCTTCCCTTCCCTTCC